AAATAAATAAATTAAAAAATAAATAAATAAAATGTATATAATTTTATTTATTTATTATTATATAAATATTATTTAACTTAATAGTATTATTATTATTATTATTATTATTATTATTATTATTATTATATAAATATTTTATAATAAAAATGTATATATTCATATAATATTATTAGATTTATTAATACTAATATATTAAAATATAATAACATATTTATACATTTTGAACATCAAAGAATAGAAAAAGCTCTCAGATTTATGATGCTTATGTCCGATTATGCTTAAGTTTGAATTCTTCCACCTGTTTTCTCAGTTCTCTCTCATCACCATTCTCTATCATTAACTTGCTTTTGACACATGACCAGTCAAAAGTTATAAATGCATATTATTGTGAATCAAGATTACTTTAATCTATTTAGTTTAACAACTTAATGTGCTAAAAAGTTGGGATTGTTTGTTAAAATATTGTAAGGTGAACAAAACGTATAAATAATAAGTTACATGCACCTAATTTTATTAGTGAGAACAGCTATTGTTTTTTACCTCTAATAACAACTCTAATAACATTACTCTTAACTGTAAAGTACTGTAAAATCATGCTTACTTTCTATAAAGTAACTTAAATGAATTATTTGTCTGTTTCAGGTCAAAGAAAGTGTGAACACATTGTTCATGTGATCAAACTTTATAATAATAGAATAGACATAGTCGAATCCCTGTGATTTGAGAAAAGGTTGTGTGGCTCTTTGAATCGGTTTAACAAACATTTATTAACTAATCATACAGCAATTCTACAATGTAAGATCACAGTTCTAAGTGCTGCCTAAATGGGTGCCACATTGCTAAATCACAACACTAACACACAACAAAATCATAAAAGTCCTTCTTCAACCTTAACAGAACAATACAACTTTTTCCCACCCATTATTAAAAAAGCCATTACCACACCGACTTCCATTTCAACAGCCAGACTCTGGAGTGTCTAAATATTCAGTGTATGGTGAATACAGCTCATCTAAGCCTTTCTCAAATGACGTCCTTGCACTAAAGGGGAAAAAAAAAAAAGTGTTCTGAAATGGCCAGATTAGATTAGCGCTAGGAAGCTTTGATCTAAAGCTCGCTGGCTAGCTTTGATCTGCACAAGCAGCTCTTCACCATGACCAGAACACAATATGAGCCCATTTTACTTCCATTTGTATCAATTCTATGAGAATATATGACAATGAGAAGCTCTGCTCACCGTCACTTGCTGCCATTTATCCCTAATCAGAGTCACTTCAAGTCATGAATGGCGACAGTGTTCCTGAGGGAAAAATGACCATCAAGGGGTCTGGAGATCAGAGTGGCAGACTTCAAATGGAGACCATATTGACATAGAACAGCATGAGTGGAAACATACCAGGGCTAATATTTACAATTATTAAGCGACTAATAGACTTTCAAGTGGAAAGATGCAGGTTCAGTGGCCAGAAAAGCCACCCATGAATGATCTATGATTGTGGAAGGGCAATTTTATTGCATGGCAGAAGATGGGATGTTGAGAGATGGTGAGTTTAGATTTTAGATGACATATTTACTGAGGCTGGGCTTTTTTTAATGATTAGCCTTTATTTTAAACTATGGTCTATATCAGGGATCACCAAATTTGTTCCTGGAGGTCCGGTGTCCGGTGTCCTGCAGTTTTTAGCTCAAACACACCTGAACAAGCTATTTAAGGTCTTACTATATTTGAAACACCCAGGCAGGTGTGTTGAGGCAAGTTGGAGCTAAACCGTGCAGGGCACCGGACCCCCAGGAACGAGATTGTTGACCCCTGGTCTATACAATTGATATTTAAAAGTCTCGAATAAATAGTTTTTTGTATTTCTGATAACAATGAACATCTATGATTAACATGGGTCTTATAATCATTAGCCATCTTCGCTGTATCTCTCTCTTCTTTACCTTGCTCAATATTATGCAAAAAAACAAAACATGGCAAGCGCAGGTGATGAACCTTTGAGCAATATAAAAGCGTTTTAGATTTCTTAAGTATTTAACCGTTCAAATCCTGGCCATTCAGCATGAACAGTTTTATTTTCCATGGTGGTGCTGATAAGGGAGTTCTCGAATGTAAGACAAATGTGTCCGCCATTGCTTTGATAACACAATTATAATGTCAACAGCAATATGGATGTTGATCAGATATCTTTTTTGCACTCTTTTTTACTGATCATCATAAGCACAAACTGGGGATGCTCATTTCGGTTAATTTTGCCAACGACAACCCAATAATAACTGTTAACTGTTCAGAATAATATTAATTAATTTGATTTTTATCAATTGGAAACAGTCATTTCCCCTATCTTTTAAACAGTGGGCCAATGAAGTGTTACATTTCCTTAGTTTGGAAAAAATAAAACTTAATTTAAAGCCAAGTATAATTGTAAATGGACAAAATGATGGTGATGCTGTCAGGGTTTGCTTGTATTCCACTCATGTTGTCTTCATTTTCTTTCTTCTTTTTTTGTCTTAGTTCATATGTACACAATGTTAAAGCACTATATATGTTGTGTTGTTAGTCCTGTTGATTAATAAATGTATTTTTTTCACTATATAAATAAATAAAAATAGAAAAATGTCTATTTTGTGTGACACATTAAATATTGCATTGTTAAATACTGATTTATTTGAACAAGTGAACAAATTAACAACATAACTTATTAACAGAACATCTTCACGCATCTGCAGTGTTACAAACAGCTTAAAAAATGCTTTTCAAGGATGACTGAATCCTTTTCAAAAACCAGCATAGGCTGTTTTTCCCATCCTACAGTATGTTTTTATTCTTTCGTCAAACAAAAATAACAGGCTGCCTCAAATCGATTCCTCCACGGAAAATATTATATTAATTAATGCTCCTCAGTTATTCTTACATCACAAACCGTTGTCAACATTTTTAATAGAAGTCATTATTTAAAAAATTATGTCTTGAGCGTCTGATTTTACCTTAGAGCTGGTGTGCTTTTATTTCCTCTCTTACTCCCGGTTCATGTGTGCGTGCTGTGTGTGATGCAAGCCAATGACAAGGCTCATATGTTAACTTTTTGTAAAGTATAGGCTACTACAGCATATATATATTTAGTTGTTTACATTAGATATTGGATTAATTTGCATACATGTTTTATAAGCTATAAAATAAAAACCTCAGTATGGTGCAGTTATCATTATGCAAAAATCAAGAAAATCTTTGGAGTTTGATTCCTAGAATATGTGATACTGTAATTTTCCAAAAGGAAAAAAAGGTCGGTTTGTTGGTTGTACACTAAATTACTAAAACTATAACTTATTTGTTGTGTTTATGAGTGGTGCCGGAGCGCACTCCGACTTTGTGGCCTGCTTGTTTTTAAAGCAGCGCACAATTATGAAAGTTTTGTTTTCAGAAAGTTTGTGAATTAAAAGTTTAGAATCTAAATCAATTTATATTCACCTGAATCAATTCTGAGTCCTAATATATATATATATATATATATATATATATATATATATATATATATATATATATATATATATATATATATATATATATATATATATATATATATATATATATATATATATATATATTGTACAGACAATGGATATATGCTTTAAAATTGTTATTTGAGCCCGGGATTAAACTTTCTCTGGTTTGAGTGAAACAATGTAGTTTGTACCCTATTAAGTGACCTATTTTGATCAAACTAAATATAACTGACAAGAAGGATCATTCACATTTTAAATGAAAATGCATTTCCCTCAGTAGCCCTTACATTATGCTCCATTATGCTATAGACAAACATAAAACAGATATAACAGATTCAGTGTTTTGTTGGATCTGGCAGCTAATGTTCTCTGAGCAGGATGTTACTGTCCATTAAGTGTCTAGAACTCCTGGCTAGAGTAGATGCTCAGTTTAAATCCACATTGGATTCTTCACGGGTCACCTGGTGTAGGACATGCACTGGTTGTGTCCTGCAGGATGTGTGACAAAGCTCCCAATTTCAGGACTGTTTTCATTGTATCCATCAGCAAGGAATTTAACTACAGAGATATTGTACTTGCAATAAATTTACAGTGAATAACTCCAGCAGCTTTGGAAAAAATAGTAACAAATGTGCTGTAGCATTAAATACGTCTAAACGCATCAATATGGATCAAAAATATACATAGCAACATCTGTTTTGTGGTGCAGGGCCATATCTATAGCCATGCATGTGTATTTATTTATAAATGCTAAAGAGGAAAAAGACTTTCTAATGAACATCAACTATTAATCTGATCCAATTAAGTCTCCCTGACAACCAGAAACATAAGAATAGCTTTTCCAAGATCCATTTCTTTTTCAGCTAATCATAATTCAATTAATTAGTGTGCCATTAACATTATCATGAATATAAATGGTCTTCATTTAAGCCAACCTGTAATAGAAAGGTTTTTAAAAAAATCCCTGGGCGTCACTTTTCAAGTGTGTTTCTGAAGGTCATCAGCAGCAGACAGAGTCTCTCTTCATGACTGGCATATATCCAGTGGCTCTCTAACTCTCCTCTGCACATTAAAAATACACACAGCAAACTGAAACTTATAATTGTGATGAGATACAAGCAAGAATGCCTGAAATTCTATGGAAATAAGGACTGCTTGTTTATTTGTTCACCCACATTATTTTGTGTTGTATTCCATGTGTATTTTAATTAAGTTTTCGTTTTTATTAACCTCATAAATGTTCATGTCAAATTATGATATCAAAGCAAGCGGAAAAGTGGAAATACCCCGAGGTTTCTGTTCTGACGTTTTAATGAAGGCGATAATTTGAAGTGAACATCTCACAGAATACAGCGGACCCTCAGGCCTTCACCTCCCACATTCAAAGGTCAAGAAAAGAGCAACAGCAGAAATAACAATGTGAATAGAGTTAATGACTGGGGGGCTTGATGAGTGTGAATAAGTGTGGTTTGGGGCTTAGAGAAAATCATTAAGCCTACCTGGAGGAAGGTTGGGTCTCTTTCTCTTTTTGCTGTTTTCTGTTCCGTTTTCCAGTGGACACTCAGAGACCAGAGGACCATTGGAGCTGTTGAATTGTAGCGGTTCGTTGTTTGTGGCAGGATCAAAAGGCAGCGGATTTAGACCTGCAGAGGAAAAGAACAGATAAACTTGGTGAGTTTGATCATTCTTTCAGGCATTCTGATCAGTCTGGATTGTGCTTTCTTCCTTTAAACACAAAACCATGTTTCAACTTCTTCTACTTCTTTGTCAATTTTAGCCCCAAACTCAAAGAGAAAAATAATGTTTGGTGGTCAAACACAAACATAAATCGATCAATTCTACCTGTTTCTTTACTACTACCTATAGCACTAAATGAACATAAATTCAAATTAGACACATTCAGGCTTCAAGCATCAGGTATATTGAAAGATATGGAACAACCTACCAAAATATTCATTAGCTCTCATGTTTTCAGCTTCAACCACAGAAAGTGGCTAATAGAAAGGATTAAGCTTTCTGGAATACTTGACCGTGATTTGTCAGTTGCAAAAACCCAAGGTATTTTATTCAGACAAAACAACGACTGAATAACAAAGGCTCACCTGGGTACATCAAATCAACTTGATTTTGAGTGAAAACATTCACGTCCAGGGGTTAACGCTAAGTATTTTTACTACTGACCTGATCGGGCCAGTGGTTCAGATTTTTACTTGCCCTGACAATGTCTGTGAATCTAGAATAATTTTTTTTTTCATGTTTTAAAATTCAAAGTGTCATGAAAACAAAAAGAGCAGTATAGAAAACATGCAGGTATTGTATTGCAGTTGGAAATTATTTAACAAAAGGTGGCTGACTTGCCAAACTAACAGCAAACTGCAAAACATCAATTAATTTTTTTGCCATGTTGTATCCCGTAAATGTCTGCTTTCAAGACATTAAAAACAGACATTTGTGTTTAGCCTCATAAGTTGATGTTTCTTCCATGTTACTGTCTCTTTACTATACTGGCTGTTACCAGATTATGGAAAAAACAACTTGCTCAAAACATCCAATCGGATAAAAGGAACTGAAAATCAATATGGTGTTTACAGCATCACAGATAAGCTACATTTAAAGGCTTAAAAGCACAAACTGTTTCTCAATTCTAAAACTGTATTTTCATGCATGTTTTTCCCGAGCATCTCTGACGCTGACCCTGGGCCACCGGGCAGTCCTTATTGTTGACCCCTGGCATCTACTGTATATATACATACGTTTACATTCATATTTATATACTTTCCCGCCACACTTTTTGCTTTTGACCATTTTGCAAGAAAAACTATTGACTAAATGAATCATAAATAAATTTGTGAATAAATTATAGATTAGTGTATGCTCCATTTAGCCAATTTTTTTATGCCAGCTTTTCATTTTCTTACTGTCTGGTGCCATATTATGACTAATAGATACAGAAGGTTAGTACATGCTCCATCAGCTTTGCGTTGGGTTGCCAATGAGCATATTGGGCTTTATTTTGCAATAACAATCGCCTGCAAGTACTTTAACCTTTAAATATTATAAATATTTTTTTTCCATTTTTATTTTTAAATACTGGTCAGAAATCATGTGAATGATCAATTAATTTAACTGAAAGTTTTAAAAAGAAAGAAAGATGATGCATGAATGAATAAATAAATGAATGAATGAATGAATGAATGAATGAATGAATGAATGAATGAAATAAAATGCTATTTTACTTTTTACAATATTTCTCACATGGTAGTGATAACTTAATAACAAAGTAAATAGTTTGTATGATCAATATAAGGAAGAAGGTCTCTAGATTTTTTTGTGGGCCTTTGGTATCAAAAAGTTCAGTCAAGCTCGTTACACACCACAAAAAAAAAAAAAAAAAAAAAAAAAAAATATATATATATATATATATATATATATATGAAATGGCCCTTTAAGACTAATTTAATGGTGTAGCTTCATTTCAATGGCGGCATATTTCTGCTCTGAAAGCCACAAAGACAGGATTATCCACACCACACATTCTCCTTCTCATTCTTTATTAACCCCTCCGTGAATTCCATTACAGAAATTGACTGCAGGTTCTGATGCTAAATTAAGCAGTGTTCTTGAGACAGCAATCAATACCCAAGGGCTCCCTCCATTTCCGTTTTAGACATTCAAAAAGAGAGAACAGATTCAACTATGCAGTGAGCATTAGAGTCAACAATACTATCAAACTAAAGATGAAACCACATAAAAAATATAATATCACAATTATAGGGATCATGGTTATGGGTAAAATGAGCTGAAAATGCCCAAAAATAAATGTACATGCATGCGTACACAAAACACACACCTGAAAATTTAAAGAATAATAATTTTTTAACAATAATTTTGTGAGCATAAACACCATAAACATGAATCCCTGTGAACATATTCTTTGTAAACAGTAACTTAAGAAAATCATATATATAAATACGACACAGTTACAGCAATTTACATGTAAAAATACAATCCCTTCTGCAGCATTTGATTCATACAATGACCTTCCCAGGAATACACACATTAACATTTCTTGCTTTACTCAAATGCAAGATGATGCGATTTGTCTTAGTTATTGAATGCTTTTGAAATTGCATCAAACTATTTATAGTGTTATTTATAGTGCTCTTATGTCCAGTAAAGGATATTATAGTTCAGCGTTTTTAAATAAGTTTCTATTTTTGTCCTGTTTTAAAATTTGCTCTTCATTTGAGGGTAGTTTTAGTTTGTTTGATTAATGGTTTTGTTAGTTTTAGTGTCTATTGTATATTGTAAAGACACTTCTATTTAATTTTTCTACATTTAGTTTCAATATTTGTTTTAGTTTATCAAGAGTTGACAGAACAAATCCAGCGTCGACCAAACCAAAAATTTATGTTTGTGCAGCTTATTTGAATTTGAGTTTCGTTTACTTTATAGAAAAAAAAAAAAAACATGGCTTATCATTAAACAATCTGTAATCATCCCTTATACTGTATGAACTCTTTTTCTGCATGTGACTGCTGAGTTTTAAATCATTGGTTACACTTCCAGTTTGGGAAAATTCCAGTATTCACTAGAGTAGGGAGAGAAGGGATAAAAGTACCATTTGTCATAAAATAAGAAAATACAGAAATACATTTTTGCTGTGGTTACTAACTCATAAGTGTGGTCTATCAATATCAAGTGGTATTTTGAAAAAACAACTTCAAAATAATTCCACTTTAAACAAATTGCACATCGTTACTTTTGACCCCTTTGGTAGGGAGAAAAGTAACACACGGGTGGGTCAAAAGTAACACAACAATATTTACTAGATTTACTGGTTAATTTGGTTTATTTTAAACATATCTGAATATGACCCTATGGTAACAGTTTATTTTGATGGTCCATTTGAGTATTAGTAGACTGCTTAATATCTGTTGATACTGCTGCTAAACAGACATTCAACTGACTATAAGACACTTTGCAAGTACATGTTAACTTACACCAACCTTAACCCCAACCAGAACCTAACAGCCTACTTATAATCTAATAAGAATTAGTTGGTTTGTAGATGCAATGTAACTTTAATTCAACAAACGGACCATCAAAATAAAGTGTGACCGACCTTGTTAATGTGAACTACAAACATATTTTGTCCTTTTTTTAAGATAAAAAAACACACTGCAAACCGCATTTTCATTTTCTTTTTTTTTTTCAAAAGCAATCCAACAACACAATGTGTTATTTATTTTTTTTTTTTACAATTTAAAGAAATATATATTATAGCAATATGCATTAATTTTATAAAATATATAAATCAAAACTCTGAAACTCTAATGTGGAAGTGAAAAATAAGGTATGGCAGTGGGACATGAATAACCATTCAAACCTGATTTACTTTAAACTGAAAAACTCAGACATTGTAAACTTAGAGTGGAAGTAAAGCACTCAGTCAAGTTAACATTATTGTGTAAATTGGTTTCTCACTATATATTAAACAAACTCGATTAATGTAACCATTTTGAAGTAAAAGGGTATGTTTTACTATAGCTTTTAGTGCAAGGGCATCGTCATCCTGGAATGTTGCTGTGTCTGACGTCACAGGGTTGGTTCCGTTCCCTCAGCTGAACAGATATAGTGAAACATGAACATGGAGACTGCAAAGCCTAGTTTAGCCCAATGTTTAATTTACAAAATAATGTAAGCTTGACTGACTGCTTCACTTCCACTTTAAGAATGTTATTGCACTAAACAACCTGTAGATTGGTTACTAGGGCTGGGCAATTCGGCCTAAAATCAAAATCTCGATTGATTGAACATTTTAACATGATTACAATTAATGAACAATTATTATTATAATTCATGTTTTTGCCCTCATCGTTCACTGGCAGGTTTTGTACAGTAAATATGCTCACATATTATAAGTGAGAGATTTTTGAATGAAGGGTGCATTACTTGATTTTAAAATAATTGAAGGAAACACACACTCTCTACTATCTAAGATTATTTATTGAACATCAACACTGAACAAATGAAATTAAAACACCTATGGTTTCAAATGAACAGTCATTTTTTTTTCTTATAAAGAAGTGAAAATAAAAAACTGAGAAACAAAATAAATAATTTTTTAATGTTTTTCATGTTAAAAGTATAAGGTGTAGGGTTCCTATAGAAGAGTAGGCTATGCGACTTCACGAAGGCTATGCCGGATCATACGCGTGTGCTCAACGCAGAAGTATAAACCAGCCAGAGCAGTGTTACGTGACTCCACACGCGGTAGGGAAAGTAATTTAAAAAATTGACCTTGAAAAATTTGTTTGATTAAAGGGTCTAAAGGGTCTTGATTACTTTTCAATTTACTGAGATGAATAAAAAAGAGAAACACAACTTTCGAGAAAAAAGAACCGCTACAATAATGTACTTTCTGCACTTAAAAACTGAAATTTGGACCTAACATGGACATGGTCCTGAAATCAGGTAATATTTGGGAGCTTCATCAAGAGTTGCATGCTGAATGTCCTGTTATAGCCTGGAAAGCAAATGTCAGGGCTTTGAGAAAATCGCTTTGTTACTGTCGTCTCATGTTACTTTCGTCCCCGCTCTCCCCTACCGTAATATTCAGTATATGTCCATATCATTGCTG